ATTCTGTTCTTTTTTCTTTCTTTTTTCCCCCCTTCTCTCTCTCTTGCATCTGGGTGTTATCTTCGATCAGCATTCCCCCTCGTTTCCAGTTAACAGTCCTGCAAGGGGCATGTCGCAAGGGCGTCGACGGGATTGGTCTGGATCCTAAACTGGGTTTTTGCTTGCCTTTTCGATATTTTATTTTTTTTCTGACTGGCAGATCATCTGCTCAGTAATCTAGAGTATAGATTGACGCCGTTGGGTTCACTTGCAGACGCCAATCCCTCCTGCACCCACTGGATCATGCAAGTGCGCGTCAAGGCCGCCCGCATATATCGTCTTTGATTGTCCTGACCCGGTCCCGGGGCCAAGGTTCGTGGGGTCTTATATATATACCTTGTCGATGGTCACCATGGATCGCCCAGAAGACTCTGCGGCGTCTATCTTCAGTGCCCCCTTTCAGTCCTCATCGTCGCTTTTAGCCCGCCGCCGCAAATCCCATTCACATTCTAATAATCGCCCCCCGGTCGACCCGGCGTCCCCTGAAGTAATAACTTCCTTAATATCATCACTCTCAACGATTTCGGTACCTCTCCAAACACATTTCGACAACGTACCGTGCCTTGATTCCGATACCGACCTTTCGCTATCCGTTTTACCGTTAGAACGACACTCCGCCCCCGGCGCAAGCATGAACATGGTGTTGCGGTAAGAACAGGGCCGCCTCAAGCCTTCGAAGAGGTTTCGCATAGTTCCTTTCTGCACCCAGATGACGCGGCCGCTGCACCGGTCATTCGCATGGCCCGGGCTCCTCCATCTCCAAAATCAAAAGCGACGACCGGTGACGCTTCTCCTTCTCCAATAAGACCTACTTCTAGGGGCTCATACACGTCCTCCAGAACGGCGTACGAAGATAATACATTCGGCATGATCACAGCCGAACCTGGTCCACGAGTTTCGACTGCACCTAGTATTACCTCGACTAGTTCCCGGAAGAGTTTAAAGAGTCAGTTTGGTCTGTTGAAAAAGTCGTCTCGGGAGTTCACATGCAACAAGGATAGACGCGCAGAACGTTTGCGGAAGACGAGTAGCTACAACGACAGCTTGAGACATAATCTTCCTCGAAGTAGAACCAGTGTACGCTCGATGCATTCTATCGCTGATGTGGCCGGAAATGGCCGGTATAGCCACTCCGCTAAGGAGACCTTCTGGGAACACGGGGCTAGCTCTCCGAATGAAGAGTATCTTTCGTTGCAAAGCGCGCGCACGAGCGCACCCAGTACTCCCGGAGGCATCGGAAGTGGCAGGGCAATTCCTGTTCGCGAGTCTTCTCTACGTCATAGCTTCTCTTCCAATTCTAGACACCATAGATCTACTCGCCATAGTCGATACTCGTCCACAGCGAGCAAAGATACGAAAGTGGACAGTGACACTGGAAACGAAGCCGAGCATGTGACCAAGAGGATACGAGAGCTGAAGGATCAGCAACAGAAGATCAAGAACGAATTGGAGATAGACGACAGCCCCGACAAAGTCACCAGGGGGCCGTCCGCAAAACACACTCAACCACCACAAAAGCCTAGTGAACTCGACAACGGCGGTGAGCCAAGTGATACTGGAAGCAGTAAGGTCAATACGTTCGATGAGAGTGCTCCAGCTCCGGCTGTTATGACGGGGAGAAGTAGATCTACGACCCGTAATAATCCGCAACTCGCATCAAAAGCAACCAATTGCCCGACACAGTCGTCTGCGCCGAGACAATCCTTTGACAAGCCTGATCAGAATGAAAAGTTACGTTATCGACGTTCAGTGGAGCAGTCAACCGCGCCGCGGCACCATAAACGTTCCCCGTCCGGCCCTGTTTCTCCAGGTCGTGCTTCTGTTGTGGATGAGCGCCCATCCAGTGCTGATTCAGTCGACCTTGCAGTTCTAGATTATGTATCCGCTCCTAGGCTTACCCAGAAAGTAATCCATCCTACCACTGGCCGCGAAATAGCTTTTTCGGAGGTCGGAGACCCCAAAGGACACGTCGTATTATGCTGTCTTGGAATGGGCTTAACCAGATATCTAATGGCGTTCTATGATGAGCTAGCGCGATCGCTTCATCTCCGACTCGTCACATTGGACCGTCCTGGGGTTGGCGAAAGCGGGCCTTATGTAAATGAGGCGGGTACTCCTCTCGGTTGGCCAGGTAAGGACACCGTGTTCAGCGCCTATGAGATTAAAACTTGCTGACCTGCCGTAGACGATGTTGCGATTGTATGCAATTATATCAAAGTAACAAAATTCTCTATCCTCGCCCACTCGGCCGGTGCTATTTATGCGCTGGCAACTGCCCTAAGGATTCCCCAGCATGTCAGGGGGCGCATACATCTTCTAGCTCCTTGGATCCCTCCATCTCAACTGTCTTCCATCGGCTCACAGAGAGCCCCCGTTCCTACCAATGCTGTCCCGTACTCTCAACGGATCCTTCGTGCCCTACCCACGTCTATCTTGAAGGTTGCTAATTCGAGCTTCATGAGCGCAACAAGTGCGAGCTTGACCGCCAATCTCCCCAAATCCTCCCGGCGCACTAGGAGAAAGGCGACAATGAAAGACTCGTCCAACTCAGCTTTACCTGAAGCCAATGGCTCTCAACGTCATTTATCCAACAGAGTATACCAACAAGGAGCCGACCTCCAAGCGCTACAGATCAAGAAACTGCAGATCCCTAATGGGACCAAAGTCGAAGACACTACAACAAGCCAGGCGGTGGCTGAGTTCGAGAAACGTGAACGCCAGTCTGATTATGACAACCGCCTAACGCACAAGATCTGGGAACTGGCCACCACGAATGCAAACCCGGCGGTGGACCTCGTCGTTTGCTTGGAACGTCGACAGCCGGTTGGATTCCGCTATGTTGACATTACCCGCAATGTCGTTATCCACCATGGAAGCAGAGACACGCGTGTTCCTGTTGATAATGTAAGGTGGCTTGGCCAAAGTATGCGACGCTGTGAGGTTCGGATACTCGAAGGCGAAGGGCATGGGCTGATGGCCTCAGCAACAGTTATGGGTAATGTCTTGATGGAAATTTCCAAGGAGTGGGAGGACTGGATGACAGTAGTCCAGGGCAAGCGTCGAGCAACTATAGGAACAAGGTCAGGTATCGCCATCCAAACCTGATCTGGTTGGAAGTTGCTGCATCGAAGTTATGGGAGATTTCGAAGAATCTGGAGAACAAAGGATGGGGAAGAAACCGAAAATAAACAGAAGAAGAAACAGCGGGGATTCGAAGGACGTCGGATAGGCATTCTGAGGACTCTGGCCATGACCAGGGCCTCCCACCTAACTAAGCCTATGCTGTCATCTTACGTGGTACTGCTGCTGGTTTTGCAGTCTTTGGATTTCACGCGTTGCTTGGCAAGATCAACCTCACCTACTTTTAGGTTGAAGCTTGCATTCACATGCCTATAGATACGCCTTTACTCTGACATGCCCTGTGTTCGATATGATACCATTGGCGCTCTCGATTGTTGTTTTGTTCTCTTAGCCTAATACCCGATCATGCTGTATGTAACTGTTTAATCTATAATCAACGATCGCATATCACGGAGGAAGCCTGAGAAGATGTAATACATATAATCTACTACCTGGCAGGATTGGTGGTCACTTAGTTATTAGTTAACTACTAGTAACTAGTAGTTAGTATGACGTAAGGGCTAAGCGCGCGGCTCCTGATTTCTTAAATCTAATTACTAAACTACCCCGTACAAATGCATGAATGTTGACTTCTCGCCCCCACGCCCACGCTTTCTTTACTGACGCTTGAGTCGCACTGTACAGGGAGCGCTCAACACCCGAAGGATCATTACATTACTATCATCACTAAATTCTCTGTGCACCTTTTAACAACAGGTGTTGTCGCCGATTCCCCAGATGTTTACATACCCTTGGTGTCAGAGCTGCGCCTATGACCCGTCGACGCGGCTAAACTATTGAAAAGGATACCGACTTCAATGCACCCAGAAACCGATTGGTCTTGAACCCCGAAGCTCTAGTTCTAGAGCATCAGAGCAAGCTGTCTAAAACGAACGACTACCGCCGCAATTCCTTCCACTTTCAATCGACTTCATTAACTCAAGATGCTACCTCAACGGCGCATCAAACTCCTAGTTATTGCTGCCCTAACGCTGGTTATCATGGCCATATACCTTTCGGTAAAATGATGCCCCGGTCCCTAGCTTGTCTGTCATGACTAACGAAGCGCACCCCCATTGTTTAGAGTGATGCACGGAGGGTACAGAACCAGAAGTTCTACCAGTCTACTGTTGCCGCAATAGAAGCACACAAGCAGACGAAGGAACCTGGGGTGGCTGCAGGCAGCTCCGCGGGCGAGCAGCGGTTTAGCGGGAACCCGACTCATGGGGACGCAGCAAGGCCCGCAGATGACAAGATGGCGCCAGCGATTCCAAGAAACGGTGACGAAGAGACGGAGGAGATATCGATTGCCGGGCGGACAAAGATGACCGTTCCTAAAGACCGCAACAATCCAGAAAGGCAAGACCAGGAATCAGGTACCGATGAGCGTGTGGAAGCGAAGACCGAGCTCAATAGTATACTAAAACGATCGCCGAGTAAGTAGTTGCAAATTTTACCCCTTCCCTATGTACATGTCGCCCGGTTGCTGAAATTTGTGCCCGCTGCGCAGTTATTGTCTTTTCCAAGTCCTATTGCCCCCATAGCGCCCGGGCCAAGTCTATCCTCTTAGACAAATACTCAATTGTCCCAGCACCTTACGTGGTAGAACTTGACCAACATGCATTGGGCCAACCACTGCAAGCTCTTTTGGCAGAGAATACTGGCCGCCGCACCGTGCCGAATGTTCTAGTTAGTGGAAGAAGCATTGGTGGCGGTGATGAAGTGGCTGCTCTCGATGAGAAGGATGAGTTGGCATCAACATTGAAGACGTTGGGAGGACAGTGGGTCCAGGAGGTCAGTCATAAGGAGGCAGGGCACTAAGACTGACGATACTCAATCATGGCGATAAAGCAACCACAATGCTTATGATTATGAATAATACATAATATATATACTTTACATCTAGGGTTGGAAGCTCTTTGATCAAGGGAATTTGTTGAGTGAGGCATTGCGTGTTGCATCTACGAGGGCAAGTGAAATGTTACACATAACCAGGTAATCATATGCCATTTGTAGAACTCGGCCTTGAGGTCAGGATGAGTATATCTCCCCTTCTGATGATAGGATCATGTATGTTAGTTGTTGATAGTACAGGTCGTACTTGGACATCCACGTGATGGGCACGTGATAATTTTAAGAAGAGACCGCAAACTGATGAGGATGAGTTGCGCAAGAGAGAAATGACGGCCTCCAAACGTAAAGATCATATAAGATACACTTGTCGGTCCAACTACCTGTAAATATATACGTTCATCATAATCGGTCACTATCATTTTAGATAGATAGAGTGTGCCAGTTTGAGCCTTTAGGTAGGTAAATGGAACGGTTATGGAACTGGTCCTGTATATTACCAAAGTCCGGAACAACCCTAGGCAGAATACGCTAAGCCTGAACGAGTCTTAAGCGACGCACAACCCGTGATTTTCACTCCACCAAAGAAAGCGACCGGTTGCCTTTGAGGAATTTCGATCCTTTCGAACGACCGACCGCACGACGACATCGACAATTCTCCCTCGGACATTCCACAGCCCACGCAGTCAAGATGCGGTACATTCACTCCGAGGAACGGCTGCCCATCCCCGAGAATGGTGAGCATTGGATCGTCCCTGAATATTGTTCTGTTTCGGTTTTTGGAGGAGGAGAACCATGAGAGGCACACATCGCGCAATGAGAGGTCTGCGCCAGGATACGCCAGCGCCGGCAGGATATACATGAGAGGAGGAAATATTCACTCAAATCGCTGTCGCGGGAAATTACGACTGGTCTTGTTCATCGCTTTTGAAAGGCTCTGGAGACTGATTCGAATTTTGTCGTTTAGTGAAGGTTCACATTCGCTCCCGGGTTGTGACCGTTGAGGGCCCTCGAGGTATGCAAAAACCCCATAATTTGAAGGAGATTTCCCACACCAAGAAGTCGCTCTACAAGGATCGTCAACGTCGTGGGACAACCATGAACGGCCTGCTTGGTTTCCCCGCTCGATTCGGTCACTAACGGGACTTCTTCGAATCTTTCAGGCAAGCTTGTTAAGGACCTCTCCCACATCGCTGTCACCTTCGGCCGCCCTGAGAAGGATGTCATCTCTATTGAGATGCACCACGGTGCCCGCAAGGGTGTTGCTGCCCTGCGTACCGTCCGCACCCTCATCAACAACTTGATCATTGGTGTTACCAAGGGCTTCAAGTACAAGATGCGCTACGTCTATGCTCACTTTCCCATCAACGTCAACATTGAGAAGAACGCCGAGACTGGCCTCTACGAAGTTGAGATCAGGTACGACAAATCCATCCTCTACATGAACCCAATGTCTGCTTTCTGGAGTAGGGAGTGGACCAGGGTTCACTGAGTCACTTGTTCTACGTATCGTGGAAGAAGGAATTCTTGCTGATGGGTTGTCCTACATAGAAACTTCTTGGGTGAGAAGTACGTTCGTCGTATCACTGCCCAGGCCGGTGTTGAGGTCGCCACCTCCCCCAACGTTAAGGATGAGCTTGTGCTCTCCGGCAACTCCCTCGAGGGTGTCTCCCAGAGCGCCGCCGACATCCAGCAGATCTGCAGAGTCCGCAACAAGGATATCCGAAAGGTAGGATTCCCCTTGTAGATTGATGACGATACTTGCGAAGCGGTTGCTGACCATCCCCTCACAGTTCCTTGACGGTCTGTACGTGTCGGAGCGGGGTAACATTATTGAGGAATAGATGATGACGGGGATTGTCCGCCTTGATGGGTAGTTAAGGATGCCAGGAGAATCTAATTTTCGCCTATTTGCATAGGGAAGCAAAGCGGAATTAAAGCAAAAATTTATGGACCATGGAATTCAAATGCCCCCCTTTACGTGTCCACGGGTATGGCTTTTCTCGACTTGGGGAAGAGGCGTGTAGAAAAAACGACAAAAAGATGATGGGCTTCTTTAGGAGCAATCCAATTTCCTTTTTCTCTCTTCAACCGCTCCCATGTGATTTGAAAGGAATTGTTCTGAAGATCCCAAAGTAGATCCGGGGCCTTGGTGTTGTAGATGTTGTAGTATCAAACCAGTCATGTGAGCCCGATTCACCCAATTGGGGAGAAGACAAAGAAATGCGGAGGAGTTGTTCGTTCTCTCACACTTCTACTTACAACTTACACCTACACTTAACTCTTACCCGACATACTCATATCACCGCGACACTTTCCCTTCGCCATTAATCTTCGGTGTTGATGTGACCTTGTGTCTTCCCGGATGACATACGCTCCCCTCGCTTCTCCGAGTAGCGAGCATGTGATAAAAAGGCCACCTGCTCAAGTACTCCCGAACATATGCCATCCCTTCCCATGAAAACTCCCTCAAGTTGCTTGCGGTAGGAATGGAGTCCTGGGTGGCCATTTGCGGGTTATTCGCCGCGGTCGTGAACATGATACTGGACGTGGCACAGTTTTGGAAAGAAGTGCGTTCGAGCCGCATTCTCTGGCTGGGCCAGTGCGAGGAGGCTAATATACTATAACTTGCGACAATTTAGAGGTTATTGTCATGGTGGAGATCAAAATCGCCCCGCAGCAGACTACGATACCGTATAGCCAACGCCCAAACGTACGAAGAATGGGAGGAAGCTGCTTTCGAGTTGGATGAGCTTCTGAGTATGGATCTGTGGTGAGCTTATTATCCTCGAGCTTCTTATCATTGGCTGCAGTGTAGCAGACCCTCACCGAAGGCAGGCGCCAAAACCCAACAAGCCGTCATTATGATTATCGACTCATTCTGGGCCGACTGGAGGCCTTGATGAGTGCTCGAGAGGACGAAGATATCCTGACATTGGTCAATCTCCTTCGATCCGGACTTGTTCGCAATCTAGGCAACATCACCTCCCCAAGACTGTCGCTCCACGCTTATGCTGGTACAAAGCTCCTGATAGACGATTATATCACCCAGGTTGCACTTTCCATCCAGCATGTGACAGCTCTGCAGACAGCCACTGTTTCTGAGGGTAGATTTGACTCTCAAGCTAAATTGGAGTTGCTACACGACACCCGGCAGGCCTTCGGCAGAACAACGCTCCTTCTGCAAGGCGGGTCGATCTTTGGGCTATGTCACTTGGGCGTGGTGAAAGCTTTACACTTACAAGGCCTCTTGCCTAGGATCATTACAGGGACCGCCACCGGGGCACTCATCGCAGCACTCGTTGGTGTTCACACAGAAGATGAGTTGCTGACTTTTCTCAATGGCGATGGCATTGATTTAACCGCCTTTGATCGCCAACGGAAAATGAGACTTGATACTGGAAACAATCAGTGGCTACCATACACTACGGGTGACAACTGGTTGTGGACTCTGCTTCGACGAGTTCAACGGTACATTCAGAAAGGCTACTTTCTTGATGCCGAGGTACTAGAAGAATGTGTGCGAGCAAACCTTGGTGACCTGACATTTGAAGAAGCGTACGCACGGTCGAAACGCATTCTCAATATCACGGTGGCGACGTCAGATAAGGGCGGTACTCCCAATCTCCTTAATTACCTGACCGCACCGAATGTGGTATGTACATGATAACTCACACGTTGTTTTCTAGAGCCGTCAGTGCTGACAATCATTTTAGTTGATTTGGTCAGCAGCAGTGGCCTCAAATGCTTCGTCAAACTCGCTCTATCAGCCCGTTACAATCTACTGTAAAGATGAAACCGGCTCAATTGTCCCGTGGGGTCTTTCGCGACATGGTTCCTCCCAGTCGGGGCGCCGCACGGAGTACACAGATGGTGAATCGCCGCTATCCCGGATTGCTGAGCTGTTCAATGTGAATCACTTCATTGTTTCTCAAGCCCGACCATACCTCGTCCCTTTTCTCCGGTCCGACGTGAATCTTCTAGACCGCCGTCCTACGGGACAGTGGAGTATCACCCGGTCACTGATGCGCTTGGTCGCTACTGAGATCCGCCACCGACTGAGACAGCTTGACTATGTTGGTCTTCTGCCACAAGCGCTCGCACGACTTCTCATCGAGGAGACCATCCCTGGCCCTAATCTCACACTGGTCCCAGATCTCTCATTGAAGGACTTTACTAAGCTATTCCAGAATCCAGACAAGGAGTCATTGGCCCATTGGATCCTAAAGGGTGAGAGAGGGACGTGGCCTGCGATTAGTGCCTTGAAAGTCCGTTGCGTTATCGAAATCGAATTAGACAAGGGCTACCAGGTTGTTCGTCGTCGACGACCAGCCGAGAATCCTTCCTCTGTTCAACATACTATGGGTCAGCGCCGCATGCCAAATGAAGGGATCCCGAGGAAATGGAGAGGGTATAGTGTCGATCACGACAGAGACATGACAGGTTTGCTGGGAAATTTCGACCGTCAACAGGACGACCTCAATTCGTGAACACTTCTTCATCAAGTTCCCTATTTGCTTACCTATGTTCTGACTGAGATTGAACTACATAGTTGATTGATCATGTATGCGCTTTTCTAGCTCTGGGGTAAAATCGAGGATACTCATCTCACATCTCAACCCCACGTAGGTGTTAGTTGTGTTAGTTGCCAAGTAAGGCTTGCTGGGTTTAGAAAAAGCAGAAATTTCACAAGTTTGATTCGTAGAAAGAGGCTTTTCTTGTGCTGCGCCCTTTTCAGGTATCAATTGCTAATACCTTGACAAACATGCTGTGGAGACACCCCCTTCATTGGAGGCCACAAGGTTCCATACCCTAATAGGTCTCTATTGTTCAACAGCACATTATTGATGCCAGGGTAGAACATTCATAAGTGAGTCACACATCCACGCCAAGTTGTCAATCACATTGTGTCAAAAAAATTACAATAGTATTTTCCCGGCATATACCAGCAATTTATCAGGACAAATATATATTACGATGAATACCCTACGTACGGTCTGTCCAAGTAGAGTTTCAATATGCAGTCTGGCAGTCTGGCACCCATCTCTCGGCATACAGAGATGGTAGAATCCCTTGCTCCCTCGGCTCCTGTTCCTGTGTGCGATGTACTGGCTGAGACAGCGATCTAGGAAGTCAACTAAATCTCTTCGCGGGTTTGACGTCCTTTCAAGGGATGTGGAGAAGCCATCAGGTCTGGAGGTGGCATAGCCCTAAACTGGAAAAAGAGTCTTGTTACGGATTGCCAAAGTGGTATAATGAGACGAAGCTTCAATTCCAACATTACTCGGTCACGTCCGGCTTGGAATTTAACAACCAGGAATAGTGTCACTTTCCTTGACAGTAGATTATATCACAATATACAAGATTGCCAGATGTATAACAAGAAACAGAAGAGAACCAGTCAGCAAGAGAACATTGCGATCGCCCTATTAGGGGTAGCTGTACATGAGTAGCAAATTTATTACCATCGCAACGAAAGCGTATCATCCTGGGACGTGCGGGTTTTGATGGCACTGACGTCTCACGTACCGAAGGACCCTCAAGACCCTCTAACATGAAAGAAAGGCTCATACAAACAGGGAACACCATTTCAGGACCTAATGATTAATTGACAGCAGTCTGTGGGCGAGCAGACTGGGGAGGCGACTCAGCGCGGTGGGATCCAGAACGTACGGAATGACTCTGCGACGTTGGGCGCGCATTGTCTTTGGTTGGATCATATGCCAAGGGAGGAACTAAAGTATATCTGGTCAATCACAGCCATATCGGGATGCGTTGGACTGGTCAAAATACTCACTGCTAAATCCATATCCTTCGGTGGCCCCTTCCCGGTTTTGTGGGTCAATTTCTACGCGAATGGCTACATCCAGACCGCCATACATGCCGCTGTTGTTGCTGAAACCATCCGCTGCAGAGTGTTTTGAACCAGCATTGGCCTCACCCGTATGGAGGGGAGAGTGGCCGTCTTTGGGCAGCGGTACCACTGTACTATCATTCTGTTGTGTAGGGCCCCCATTGGCGAAGGGGGTATCGACTTCGGTGATGCATGCATAGTTGCGTGACGGCATTGTCACCTTGTTCCAGGAAGCGCTCTTCTCCTGACCCCCTGGTTGTTGATCAAACATGTCCATCAGCGTTTCATCGGTATTTGGGTCGAGATGATGGAGCTTATTTCTTCGGGCTAAAAGATTCGCAACTGCCTTCGGAGGTGGCTTGTTCGTGATCGCGCTGCTAACGACGTTGACCATATATCGAGGGTCGTTCACACTTTGAAGACCGAGATTAGGGTTCGAATAAAAACGTCCAATAGCTGCCAAGTGCACATCTCCACCCAGGATCGTAACCCGAACCGAATAAACCTTAGCCATTTCTTGGAGACGTTGAATAAATAGCCTGCGTTCACGCTTGTGCTGACGAGCTGTGTAGTGGTCATCTAGATCGTCAAGCAGGTCTACCTGGCCGTCAAATTGGTTGAACAAGCCGCCTGCAAACCCAAACCGCTTGTTGAGCAAACGAATTGGCGCAATGATTGGGGAGCTGAGAATATTCTCCAACCATGCAAGGCGTGGATAAGCAATAGGGACACCCAAAAGCACAACCAGATGCTTAATGTCACCATTGGCCGCCCTCAATTCGTGCTCGAGTCGAGAAAATATGAGATCGTACGTATCAGGATAATTCACCTGATGGCGGGTGCGTTCCGTGCGTGCATCGACACCGATGAAGGCGATCCGCTTCCCGAGACGCATGTACAAGTTCCTACTCTTCTCCTCTACATAGGGGCCTGGTCGCTTTCCAACTATCCAGCTATCGTCCTCGGCCTGGTTTTCCAAGACAAAGGTGTTCTCCAACTGTCGAGGATCCGCTCCTGCTGTTCCATTGACTGCATGCATGGTCTGTGGGGCATCCGTTGTGTAGGTCGACCTGGGTGGTGCGACGTGATGCTGAAACAGGCAGTAGTATTTGAAAGCAACGCCTCCAATGCCGCGAAAGACGGAACAACGCATGAAGTGATCTGTATAGGAGCCGAAACCATCGATTATATCGTGGTCGTCCCAGATATTAATCTGAGGTATGCGTCCATTTGCCGCTTTGAACGGTTCAGTAGAATACCATCGTACGTAGTTTTTATAGTAGTACTCGTCACATCTAGCCCGCAAGTCATTATCAAAATTGTGCGCACGTCTTTTGTGGGGGTTGGAGATAGAGGTCCATTCCTTCAATGGGCCGTCGACGCGGATTCCATCATTGTAGAGCTGGTCGCCACCACCAATCATCGCATGAAAGGGTTTTTGCGTATGCACGCGCAGGACATCGTTCCACAGGTTTGGACCGATCCAGGCATCCATATCTGTGCCAACGGAGAAGCCATTGCAGGAATGAAACATGAGGCGCATGGATTGGTTTATAGATGGGACCACGAAATCCCAAGGCGATCTCATTCCCTGTCCCTCCGCATGTTGAAAACCCGGAATGCTGTACTCCCAGCGCGCTTCATATGACTCGAGAGGTAGTGAGATTGAAAATCGCCAGAATGCTTTCGAGGGATCTTCGAAAAGGCGAAGGCCGTCGATCGTAATGTTTTGGCTATTGTATAAGTTCCCGTTGACCGAGGCATTACCCTCGACCGGGCCAGCCTGGCGCAAAACGAGCTGCGGCTGCTTTTGACCAGGTTTCGTCACAATCAAAACACTGCCACGCCAGATCGAGGCGGATGGAGTGACATCCATATTCTTGAAATTGATTAAGGGCCCGCAAATTACATCTATTTGCGCATTCGAATCGCGTAATTGGCCATTGAAGGCTGCACCGGGCAAAGTCAGCGACATGATCCGCTTTTTGAACCATCCGGATGTTAGTAGAGAGCTTACCCGGCTGAAGTTGTTCGGCCATTGCAGAACGATTGCTCAGGGCTGCGAACTGCTCGTGACAGATACGGTACTGGAAAGGGAAACACGAGAAAAGAAGAAAAGATTACTAGATGTGTTCTCGCGGGCAGAGTAATCAATTGGACTGAAACCGCCAGGGGAGGGTATCAAAACAAAGACCGAGAAACAAGCCACAAGGAGACAAAACGCTAAGACGTGATCACCACGTTATTAAATTCCGGGTGATTCAGAAGAGATCACAATAATCTGGTTCACCGTACACAAGCGAGTGGGAAAGGGGATAAGATCGTCTGATTATGGGTCGGTTAAGAACAGGGGGATGGAGTAATGGAGAAAGCAGTAATAACTTGGCGCAATTAGCAAGACAGAAGACTGAAAAGCGCACATACACACTACTCACTCACATTCACAAACACACGGAGAGAGACAGAAGGGGGA